TTGCTTCTGGATTTGATTGTGTCATCTGCTTCTTTCTTCTTTTGCCTTGTTAGCCCATAGCAAAGTTCCCAGCGGTTACCTCAGACTACTGAACTGAGATTATAAATTCTGTGTCCTCCATGCTAGGGGTGCCATAAAAATGAGGAGTTGGTAATTTCAGTTTTGTAGGGGAAGAAAGGTTCTGCCTCCCACCAAGACTTATAAAATGAAAAATTTACTGTGTGTAGAAAGAGTTCAGATATTTGACAGCCAGCAAAGCAAATGAACATGAGGATTCATGCTTGTAGACTTTAATGACTTCTAGAATTGGAAGAAAATGCCAAACTCATCTATTTAGCTCTATCTCTCTTCCAATTGAGAGAGTCCCCTTTAGAGTGTCCTGGAAAATACTCTAAGCCTTGCTTGAATTTGCACATGATGGAAAGCTTTCCACACTGTGAGATCGTATGTTTTAATCCTCGGCAACTCTTTTCCGAAAGAAAAAGATTGTTATGATTTCCAGTTCATAGACTCATTTCTCATGGTTTCCTTCACCATACAGTTTGCCTTTATCTAGATGCATTGTACTTTCCAAATATCTTGCTTTTGATATGGTACTCAGACTGAGAATAATATCATCCACATGGACTGGAAAATGCAAAGGCTATTTTTTTTCATTAATTGAACCTGAGATTGTGTTGGCTCTTTTATGCAACCATAACATAATGACTCATATTAAACTAAAACATTTAAATATTTTTACAAGAACAACTGCCAAAGCCATTCCCACAATTGAGCCTGTAAACCTAATTATTTAAAAGATGAAATTGAGGTTTTTACATTTATTCCTGCAGCATTCACCTCTTTAGTTTTAGCTCAGTGATCTGGTTTGTTGAAATAATTTTGGATTTTAAGTTTTTTGCTGTCTGTGGCAATATGTGATAGTAGGATTTCCTTCAAGGATGGCGGCATCCGTTAATTTGCCTGCACATCTTTTATATTTTCATCCAAGTTATTGATGAATCAGTAAACAGGAAACGACGACAACAGAACATTGTGCCATTGCACCAGTCTTTCTTCAAGGTGGACACTGGGTCTTGAGAGCAATTGGTTTTCAAGCCCACTGCTCGAGCATCTTAAAATAAACCTAATCTTCTCAATACCTTGCTAAAAATTGTCAATAGTTTCCTCTTGCTCTTACTATAAAGATCAGAATTCTTAATATGGCTCACAGGCGAGGCATTGTCTGGTTTATCCTTTCTTCAGCTCCATATGGGGCCACTCCCCCTTTTCTCTGTGTTTTATCAACAGGGAATTACAAATATAATATACCTCCCCTGCCCTTTGCCAATTCACCTCTCAGGACTCACCCATTGGGTCTCAGATGAAGCGTTTCCGTCCACAAGGGAGCCTTCTCTAACAGCATAGTTTTTGTCAGTTTCCTCTGTTAATCTTCTTATAGAATCAAATTGCATTCCTTTAATGATCTCGGTTTGCAACTGTATATGCATCTTGTCATAATTTCATCTGACTCCACTAGACTGAAGCTCTATAAAGAATAAACAAAGTCCATGTTTGCCAATCATTATCTGATCAATGCCTGGAACATTGTAGATTCACAGAAAGATCTTATAGAATGAATGATAGAAACTCAACAAATAATGTGCCCATTGATCCTACTGAGAATGTAAGCTACAAATGAGTGAAACTGCTTTAGTAAATAAGTCTTGTCCCACCAGTCACTGTTTTGTGATTCCTGAGTTTTTCAGTCTCAGTACGATTGACAATTGGACTAGGTATGTGAATAGTGTCGAGATTGAGAAGCTCAGAGAAATAATAAAACAGGGTGGGTGGTGGGAGACTTATTTTTATCTTGGGGGATGGGAGAGGCACATCCTATGCATTGTAGGATAGTTAGCAACATCCCTGACCTCTACCCAGTAAATGCCAGAAACATCATTTCTCCCAGTTGTGAACAACCAAGTGTCTTCAGAAATTGCCAAACATCTTGATGTGAGGGTGGGGGCAATACTACCCTCAGTTGAAAACCTCTGCTTTAATTATAAGAACTTCACCACATGAAGAGGGATATATGATTTGATTAATTATAATTATAGAAAAAAATGTATGTAAAAGACATGGGCCTGGCATGCCTATAATCCCAGCACTTTGGGAGGCTGAGGAAGGCAGATTGCTTGAGTCCAGGAGTTCAAGACCAGCCTGGGAGACACAACAAAACCCCATCTCTACTAAAAATACAAAAAATTAGCTGGGTGTGGTGGGGCATGCCTGTAGTCCCAGCTCTCTGGGAGGCTGAGGTGGGGAGATCACCTGAGCCTGGGAGATAGTGGCTGCAGTGAGCCATGATCAAACCACTGTACTCCAGCCTGAGGCACAGAATGAGACCCTGTATTAAAAAAAAAAAAAAAGCACAAGTTGTATAAATGAAGCAATGTACCTCATTCTTCCATGGAAGTAGATGTGGTCAGTGTTCATGCATATCTTACTACAACCATGAAAATTTAATAACTACTCAGGTCCAAAAATATCTCCCATTTCAACCTCATAGAAAATCAATTACTTTGACAGTTACTAAAGAAATGTTTTACTCATATTTCCTGTATGTATCTCACCAAATAAGCAGCATTTCCTAGGATGTTCTATGAATTCTAAAGCCCTGTTGCCCTGTTAGAGGGATGGAGGACAGACAATTTGTTGAACACAGAGTTGTGATTGTAAGGTGTGGTAGGCAGTCTTCAAGATCCCATGTTGATTTGGGAAACTAATCAGAATTCCATGAAGATGAGAAAACTTGTTAGTGTTCTTTGGACATTTCTCTGTCTCTTTTTTTTTGTGCTTGTAGGGAATGAAATGGTAAATAAGTGACACAGGACATAGAAATATCATCATCCTAAGGAGGAAGCCACAGTTGTTAAAATATTCTCTCCCTTATCCTCACTACTAATGTAATACTGATATGACATGCATCTCTCTGTATATTTGTTGTGATTGGGAGATATCAGAATTCTATAAAGAGATTGCCATTCCTTAATACTATCAGGGACAAAGTTTATTATATGCTAAGCATCAAGAAAATATGGGCCTGAAAGTTTAGCCTATTTTGTGCCATCTATTATGACATATTAAATTGTTACAGAAAGGAAATGATTCATATGCTACAGAAGAAGGACAAAAGAGTCACCAGTTGCCCAACGGACAGAACTAAAAACCAGGAGCATTTTAATTCTTATTATTTTTGGCCATTCTTGGAAGTATTTCTTCTCAAGGGCAGCATTTTTCCCACTGAAATAACAAGAGTAACAATGCTGGCTTCTTTGTTTAATTATGCCTCATATATTTAGTACATTTATTCTTCCAAGAAAAAGTCAGGAAGGTAAAAACTTTAGTGCTACCATCAGGGCAGGCCCAGTTATACTGACAAGGAAGAAAAAGTTACATTTTAAGACTTAATCTTTGTGTTCATTGGCCACAGGCCATTAGAATAAACCATAAAGGTGTATGTAATTTCTAGGTACTAACTTTGAGCTCATAGATTGAATTTAAAATGGAGAGATTACAAAAAGAACAAAAGCAATCAACTCAAAAGTAATGAGAGTTTTAGGTTTCCAAAACATAGATGAAACTGTTAGAAAAATGTATAAAGAGACCTGTAATGCCAGGCAAGTATGGAGATAACAATTGTGGCAAATATTTTGCTTTGTTAATAGGCCAATTCTTATCAGACTGTTCCAGAAGGCTAGAAAAAATTTGTACTAATGTCTTCCTCTACAATTTGAAAAGCTGCATACAGCATTTAACCTCTTATTACTAAAATAAACTAGGAAAAGCTTTCACACTCCCTGAATGATGCCGTGTACTCTAAAGCTGAAACAGATGACACCAGGTTTCTGGCAGGAAGGATAAACCCTAAATGCCACTGGCACTGCTACAGGAAGGTAGGGATTAGTTTATAACCTTTACCTGAGACATGTGCTAGGGTGATGTTACCATAATAATTATGGCTTAAAATAAAATCATTATTGTGGATATTTAAGTCATGATTCTGTGTTAATAGGAAACCAAACTAGTGAAGAAAATAGTTATTCATACTTGCTAAAGAAAGACTACTGTTTTTTTTTTTTGACAACAAATGGCAGAAAAATTTAATGTAATTGAGCCACGCAAACTGTATTATTGTAACTTAATCGATTGGTCCAGTGGTAGAGAAAAAAATCCACTTCTATAAAGCAATAGAATTGACAGTTTTAAAAGTGGAATTGACTTGCTCATTAACTGGGTTGACTAATGGACTTTTTTTTTTTCATTGTGTGAATGGTTTGTAAAAGGACTATGATATAGGGAGACATGAGATACAACATTTTACAAAGGGACCATTTAAGCAATGAAATAATGCTTATTCTCCTGGTATCCAGCTGACCAAACATCATACTGGTGATGAGCTCACTGAAATCATGGCAGAAGAAGGGAAAGAAACAAACAAAATTGAATGGAAACCTACCAGGGAAGATTTTGTATGTTTTGGGTTGTTTAACTTCTACAGTTATCTTCTAAGGTGAATCTTAGACATTTTACAAAAGCAACAACAATAGTAATTTAGAACTCTTGCTATAAACCAAGTTATTTGCTAGGTGAAATATTTATGCATATTATGAAATGTTATTCAGTTAGGTGAACATTATTATTCTGATTTTACAGAAGGTTAGTTTGCCCAAGGTCAACAAGCAGTAACAGAGCTGAGACTCAATACGAGATATATTTTATTGTACAAACTATATGGCCTTGACGCAGCTGTTTGACTATATATCTATATGAATATATATGCACACATATACATATATAGAGATATAGGAATATATGTAAATATTCATATGTTTATGTATATACATTTATTATCTACAGCTTTTTGGCACAATTTACTAAAGCAGGTGAATATGTAAGCTCTAATGCTAACTGTTCATATGATCTTTTTGTATCTTTGGCTTTTGTTTCTTCAGGGTTCAAAATTGGAATCACTTGTCACCAAATAATGTTTAAAACTATTTGAGATTGTTGGCTTAGAGTAGCAGTCAAATCATAGGACATGGCAAGGCCAAGGGAAAACACACCCCAGGATGGAGAACAGGTTCCAAAAGCTGAGGAAAGACGTTGAGAAGGTTGTGCATACTTCTTCAGTCTCAGCAGAACCTTTTCAATAGTGAGAGAAAGGGTAAGTAAGTACATTCATCTGCTTTTCTCTGTATTGTTTAGTATCAACAAAGTGGAGTTTGATGACAAAAGATCTTTTTTCTTCATCTTTCTTCCCTTTCTCTTCCAATTTTTTGAAGGCACCAGTATCTTGAAAACCAGTCAATGAAACTCCAAGGGCCTGCTTGAAAATAAATGTCGATAGCCATGTATTGCATGCAAGGAGGGTCCGTGAATGTGTTTATTTACCATGATGCTTTCTGAAACATGAGAAATAAATTCTTTACACTGGAACCACAGAGGGGCTCTGCTTCTGAAAGCAGGCAGTCCGAATGCTTGTCTTTGTTTCCCTATTCTTGGTTGAGATGAAATCCAGACACTTGGGGGCTTGGGAAAATCCGGCGTGTGGTTTGTTTCAAGGCATTCTCTTCTAAGATTCTGTTGCCAGTCTGTAGAACAGACCCTTTTCTCCGTCTCCTGCACCCCCTCCCCATGCTTGCACCCCGTGGCCAGAGAGCCAAATATTACGAGCCAAGAGTGTTTTCAATAGAAATACTGGGAAAATGCTGTTTCTAATGGCATAGAAAAAGCAAACAGAATGAAGGCCATTGTTATGGGAATCTTAAACCCAGAACTCTGAAGAAGGAAGGTATAAGCACAGCCGAATACTGTAGGAAGAACGTTCCTGCTTTCCAACAGGGAAAATCAAAGGTAGTGTTTCTTGTCACATTTTGTATTTTTCAAATAAATACCTCCAGAAGAACATACCAGAAATTATATTGTAAGCACATTATGAGTAAGCACATGAATGTTTTAATTTCTTTGCTCAAAAAATAGTTACTAATTGCATGCTAATGTGTGAAGCATTTTTGAAGGTATAATTCTTTCTGAGGAGAATTATATAGAATTGTCACATTATATTGTCACTATCTGTATATCATGTGACTCTTTCATCAGATAAGGCCTCTCTCCAGTCAAGGGAGGGCTCATTTCACTTTTCTGTAGCTCCAGGCATGTTCCATGGTTTGTAAGCCTCAGATTCCAGGGACTTACATCATGCAGGAGAGTTAAATGTTTGTGCTCATAAGCATGCACCTAGTTATGAACTATTGAGCCTTGTCAGTGTTGTGGCCAGTCTGTGTTATTACAGTTCAGAGATAGCTGATGAGTTGGAAATGGGGTGCTGGAGAGGATCAGGAACTGTTCATAAGGGAGTATGCGCTGGGCACACAGAGACAAGTAAGATGTGAATAGGCAGAGAAAATAATAATAAAAGCCTGAGATAAGAAGGGGGTCCAGGAAATGGAAAATTAATCTTGTACTGTGAGATGAACTCTCTGAATTTCAAATTTGAGCATGATTTGAAGTAGCATGTTATAGTGAAAACAATAAACAGATAATTACTTCGTTTTATTGTCAGATGGATACAGCTTCTGTCTCTGCATTGACGCTTACTAGAAGGCTGCTACCTTAGGAACACTGCTTAAACTCAGTGAGACTGATGTCTCTGGCTATAAAATGAGACTACTGTACTCTGCTGATTTATCTTATCCCCACTGCCTTGAACATTGCTTTTCATAGAGAAAGAGGTTAAAATAAATATTTGGTGAATGAACACCCATCAAAGAAGCAGAATCAAATGAAATAACACGGGAGTGCCAATTACATAGTATGCACTCAATACATATTGGTTCTGTAGCTTTCTCCCTTTTTCTTGCTGTTCAGAAAATTTTATTGCCTTTGCATTCCATAATCTAGCTTCCATTTATATTTCCAAATAAATTCCCCATTATTTTTTTACCTACCAAGTATGTTACTCACTGATACTTGTATATTATTCATAATCTATTTTAACTTAAACTATTGCCTTTTTCCATATTATACTTTCCTTGCATTTTCATATATTCAAAAATCAACCCATTCTTCAAGGTCCATCTCAGATACCAGCTTCATAAAGAATTTCATGTATTCTCTTCCTTCCTTTCGCTGAAATTTCCTGCCTATATTTATCCATTTTACTTTGTGTCATGTAACATTTACACTTTTGTGTTACATTAATTCATTCAACTATATGTCTTTTCTGCCAGCAAAGTTTATGCTTTTTTTAAAATTTTATAACTTTTATGGAGCATTTATCATGCTCACATCACCATGTTAAGTTGTGTATATGGAAAGGCAAATATGACATTGTCTTTATTCTAAGGGAGTGCTCCATATATTACACTGGATATGCAAGTCAATAATTATACTCAAAAATACTAAGTATACTTAATAGCATCAACTATTTTATTATCAGAATACAGAGATGTCAAAAATGGCTTCAAGACGATCTCTCATTTTAACCGAGATCCCAGGAAGGACTAGTAATTAGGTTTTTAAGTAATACTATAGATCTACCATCTGAGAAGAATGCCTACCCTTGAATTAGTCATGTCATGTTGACACGCAGCTACTTTCCATATTTTCAACAATGATTCTTCAACTGCTACAATGTAGAATATTTCATAATCCTACAGCACAAGCAAAATGCCCTTTCCCTAATTATCTGCCTCAGATCTAATATTATGGCATAATATTTATGAATGGCCAGACACTTCCTTAAACATTTTTCAATGATGCTGTTTTCCTTTCCTTGACTCAATTACATTTTGTATAACGCATCTGGTATTTTCCTGTCTTCTAATAGAAACCTGTTCCAACTGATTTAAAATTCAGAAAACATGAGCAAGATAAGCTCTGATAACTTTTCTGATTCTCTTGTAGGTGTATAAAATGCTATGGCATTGAGAGAGGTTTGAAGCGGGAAGACACTGATGGGTCATTGAAGTGTGTGAAATCTCAGTGAGAAATTGCCTCTTTGAGTCATGACGGATCCAGAGCCTTGTCTGGTCCCCACGGTGTTGTCTATAAAATCTCCTGTGCTGCATTAAGACAGGTAGTCTGTCATTCAGTTTCAGTGTATTTTGGAATATACTTAGAAGCAAAAAAAATCCTACCGTAGCTTTTTTCCCTGTACTCAAGTATAAACTTCTTTTCTTTCTCTAAAATCAATATTGCTTTTATTAATTAAAATTTTGTTTATATTTTAATCAACAAATAATAATTGTGCATATTTATGGGGTACATAGTGATTTTTTGATTTATACAATGTAAAGTGATCAGATCATGGCAGTTGGCATATCCATCATCTCAAAAACATGCTTCCTAAGAACAATACTCAGTTCATAATCATTTTACATCTTCCAGTTGGTCAAAGTTAATATTCTGCAGAGAGCAGAAACTGAGTGTTATTTGAGGAAAAACTTTCAAGTTCTGATGGAACTTTAGTTAAGTAGTTGCAAATACTTTTTGACACTTGCAAAAAGTATACATTTGAGAATATTTTTTCACATAGATAAATAAATATATTACAAGGAAATGGCTGAATTATCCAATGGAGAGTACTTAAAAGAAAAACTGAAGAAAAACAGCAAAATTGGAACTGGCATAATCAACCAGCATGATGCAGTAATTATTTCCTCTCTCCCATATTCCCACTGAGATATGCAATATAATATAGAATTAGAGGGAAAGTTACATCAGCACCAGCAGTAGAAAGTAGGGCAGCATGCTGCCACCTGTAAGAAATTGAAAATATTGTTGTTATACTAGAATATTCCCGTTATTCTTCAACTGTTTTGGGTTCATTAAGGGTCTCCAGATAAACAGAACCAATAAGATACACACACACACACACACACACACACACACACACACGCATAGTTGTATGTACATCTGTACATCAGTACATATATACACATGCATATGTGCATATATACATATATATGGCATTATATACTTACCAGTACATAATATATACTTACAAGTTCATTAGGCACAATTTCTACGTTCCAGTTGTGAGGCAAAATGCCTTCTCTCTCTCTCTCTCTCTGTGTGTGTGTATATATATATATATATTCACACACACATCTATATATAGAGAGATATCTCTATATGTAATATATCTCTCTATATATAAGATATACATATATAAAAAATATATATAATATATGTAAGATATATATAAGATATATATATGAGATATATCTCATATATATATTATTATTAATATGGGCATTGATTTGCATGATCAGTTGTAGAGGCTAAAAATCCCACTATCTGCCATCTGCAAATGAGAGAAGCAGAAATGCCAGTGCTATAATACAGATTGAGTATGAAGGCTTAAGAACCAAGTAAGGGGTGGGGTGCCATAGTATAGATTGAGTATCTTTTATCCAAAATGCTTGGGACCTGAAGTATTTTAGATTTCATTTTTTTCAGATTTGGAATATTTGCATCATACTTACCAGTTCATCATCTCACACATGAAAATCCCAAAATGAAATGCTCTGTTAAGCATTTCCTTTGAGGTTCATGTTAGTGCTCAAAATATTTCAGATTTTGGAGCAATTGGATTTGAAATTTAAGATTAGGGAAATTCAACCTGTGTAAGTCAGAGTCTGAAGGGCCAAGAACCAGGAGTTTCAATGTCCAAAAGCAGAAGATGGATGTCTCAGCTCAAGAAGACGGATAATTCACCCTTCCTCTGCCTTTCTCTTCTGGATAATGCCCACCCACATTTGGGGAGGAAAGATCTTCTTTACTCGACTTACTAATAATCACTAATTTTTTCCAGAAACACAGTCACAGACATACTCAAAAATAATATTTTGCCAGCTATCTAGTAATTCCTTAGCCCAGTCAAGTTGACACATAAAATTAGCCATCAGAGAACGAGAGAGAAAAAGATTGATTTACTTTAAATAATTGGCTCATGCAATTGTAGGGGCTGTCAAGTTCGAAATTTGTAGGGTATTCTGGCAGTCTGGAAATTCAGCTAAAAGTTGATGTTGCACTCTTAAGTCCAAAATACGCAGGGCATGCCAGCAAGCTGGAAACTCAGACACAATTTCTATGTTGCAGTTGTGAGGCAGAATGCCTTCTTCTTTGGGAAACATCAGTTTTTGCTCATTAGGTCTGCAACTGATTGAATGAGATCCTCCTACTTTCTGGAGGGTAATTTGCTTTACTTAAGTCAACTGATTTTAAATATTCATCATGTCTAAAAAAGTACAACCACAGCAACATTTAGACTGCTGTTTGTTCAAATAACTGGGCACCAAAGCCTTGCCATGTTGACCCATACAATTAACCATCACAAATAGTATTAGATTAATGGAAACCGTCATCCTGGAAGACTGATACATAACACTGGCATGTCTGCAAAAGAATGGAAGCTGAACTGATCAATGCACTGGGGATTCACTCCAGGTTAGAGGCCTAAATGTTAGAGGTGAGAGTGTCCTGAAAGTCAGGCAAGAGACTCACTCCAAATTCTCCATCTGCCCAGCATTGACTTGCAGACCTGTGCCACTCAGCAATGTATAAATGGCTTACAGTGTGCTACCAACACTGAGCAGAGACTGATCATTGCAAGAGGCCAGTCTGAAGCAAACCTATTTGTATGAGAGGCATATATTGATGATTATGTTTTATTTAGTTATACCTGGAAAAGGAAGTCCATCTATGATTCTTCAGCCTGTAAAGTTTCACAGGAAATATTCTGAGTCATGTTAAGGACTGCTAAAGATCCTAGCCAAAATTGTTCAAGCCCAAAGAATGAATAATTGGTGATGAGTTCCTCCTTGGTGATACAGCACTGAGAGCAGCAGTGGAGAAGGAGGCAGAGTGTGGGTGAGAACTGTACAGAGCTTTGGCGCTGCAATGCTCACGGAGCATCTGAAGGACTTGGCTTCTCACTTTAGAAGATGGAAAGTGGATCACCTGTTAGAAACAGTTTTAGAAAACAAACAAAACAACAGCAAAAGAATAGAACTTTCAACAAGAATATCAATAGAGTTAGACAATAGGTTATCAGGTTAGGAGCCTGGACAAGGTGTATGAAAAACACAGTTGCCAAAGGATATAAAACAACAATGAGTCAGGCTAGATGTTATGAAAAATAATACTGGTAAACAAGAAGACAAATTCAATTTTCTTTTCTGTAAAAGAAAATCACACAAACAAAATAGGATAATAGTGTTAAAGTGGTAAGTATAGAGAACTCAAAGACCCAACACACAGATGAAAGAATAGAAATGTTGAAACAAAAACAATGAGCTCAGGAAAAGAAGAATATTCCTCTAATAATAAAGTGCACCAGTTTAGATACTAACTGCAAATTTACACCATGTTTCCAGCCCTAAGGGAGAGAAAATGACACCGAAATCTGCCATGAGGCTCTGTCACACCCATGGAAGGGGCAGGGTGACAACTGAGATGTCTTCTAAAAAGTGTGCATATTCCCAGTGTCAACCTGGGGCAGGAGATGACAGGAGAGATGTGGACTTTAGATGGGACGAGAGGTATACCTCTTCTGTTTCTCAAACCTAACCCCTAAGGCCTAGGGATGTTGGTGTGTTTCTAGTGGTAGCAGATGAAAGACAAATCAAAGTAAGGAACTCAGGAATGAGATAGTCATGGTTAGAATCATTTGAGCATTGAAATAAGCACATAGAGATAAGTAAGTAATAAAATGATCCATTTTTTTTAAAGAAGATAAATATATTTGTAAAAAGAAATTTGGTTGTATTTACAACTTTAATGGAATTTGTAAAATCTGGTAAAGGAGAGGGTGTAAAACAGAATATTGCAACTACACCTTTAATTAAAAACTATTTATATGTAATTGGCCTTGGCATTTAGTTAAACATAGATTTTAAAACATGTCTGAAAAAATTATGCTGATAGAGTTGGATGTCTAATAGCACACACACATGCTGAACTCAGTAAAATGACAAAAGAGAAAGAAAACATTGAAAAGAAGATCATAATACAAAATGACAGATGTAAGAGCAAATATAAAAATATGTGAGAGGATCAAAATTTTAAAAGCAAAAGTGTTAGATTGTATTAAGTTAATTTTAATGCTATGCTTACTAATTGAACTAGTTAAATAGACCTGAAATAAACAAACTAAAATTTTAAGGTAAAAATAAGTGAGCAAGAATATAAAAAATAAGGAAAAATGAATGGAAAGTAAAATAGACATAGAATACTTTTCATTTCTAAAGGGTAAAATTCCTAAGAAGACTCAACAATCATGAGACTCAACATTTGTGTATCTGGAAGAGCATAGACGAATCACAAGTCATCTGAAATAGAAGGAGAAACTAATTCTACTGAAATATTTTAAAATGTATTTTTAATCTACTACCGATCAAAGAACACCAAATAGATCCTCCTTCAGTATATTGCAGAAAAATTAGAACCATCATAACTTAGAAGATTATGTTATCATGGATAACATAGAAGCAATGGAAATGCTATGTAAATAGTTATCATTCTGTATTTTATTTGTGTTATTTTCTAATTTTATTTGGTAAAGTTGATTAACTGATGGGTATAAAAGTTCTCAGCAAACTGGAAATTAAAAAAAAAAAATGCTTCTATTGTCCATGGGACATTTACAAAAAGATTACAAAGAAAATCACAATAAAGTATCCAAAGCAGTAACAGTACAGGCAAGTTTTAGAGATTACCATGCGACAACACTGGGAACTTGAGATAGTGACTTGGGCTTTCTCCCGCAATGCTGATATGATTGTAAATCACATGAAACTTTCTGGAAAGTAGTTTGGCAATAACTGTCAAGAAGTTTAATTATGATTTTATCTATTTAAGAGTAATTCCACTTCTAAGAAACCATTATAAAGAAATGTTCTGAAATATAGATATATATTTTTGCCAAAGTTTTTATCAACATTTTCAACAATAGAGAAATTATTAAAATAAGATATCTCCATATGATGGCATGTTATGCAGGAAGGAAAATAATATTTACCAAGATGCATAAATAATATGGTAAAAATAATGTAATATAGTGTGAAAAAAACA